GAAATAGCAGTGATTCCTCTCATTTGGGAGCAGGATGTCTGTAGTCTTGGCACAGCAGGCATCAGCAGGTGGAAGTCTGAGCAGAATTTTTGCTGAGTCTGTTTCTTGTCTAGCTGCCTGGTAGCTGCAAGTGGGCTCCATCCTGCTGGTGGAAGTATGGTTGTTGTTTATTCACTTTTATCTAGTTGCTTCTGCTCTTTACAATATGAAAGGCTACAAACTGAAGATTCCAACTGCATGATGTTCTAGAAAAAGCAATGACAGAAACAGTACGGAATATCTTGGTTGCCAGGAATTGAGGGGAGGCAGGGAGGCACAGACAGAGTGTGGATGGTTGTCGTAGCAGTGAAACTAGCCTTTAGGATATTATAATGGTGGATATAATATCCCAAAGATATTATACACATTTGTTCAAACCCTAGGAGGAGACATAAGATGAACCATGGACTTTGGGATAGTGAGGAGTTGGTGCAGCTTCATTGATTGTGACAAATGTTTGACCTGAAGTGAATATTGACAGTACAGGAGTGTGGCAGTTTGGAGCGTAAGCAGGGAGTGAACTGGAACTTCGAACCTTCCATTCAAGTGCACTGGCCAGCTGCCCTTTAAACTCAAGCCCTGTTGAGGCTCTTAGAGAGTCAGTAAATACCGAAGATCTGCTCTCTTGCATGTTCCAATGGCTTGGAGTGGGGAGAGCGCACATGTGGATGAAGAGACGAAAAGCCCAAAAGGAAGGGGGGAAAGACTGAAGTGCATGTGAAGTTTAGATGAGTCATTAAAAATCTTTGGTTCCTCTAATGCCCAAAAGTAGATGACTGGATTAAAAAGAGGTGGTACATATACACAATAGAATATTACTCAGCAACCAAAAAAAAAAAAAAAGAAACACATGTCTTTTGCAGCAACATGGATGTAGCTGGACAGGATCATGCTTAGCGAAATAAGCCAGAAAGAAAAAGAAAAATACCGGATGAATTCACACATAGAGGGAGCATAAGGGTTCAGGAGGAAAAAAAAATTGTAGTAAAGTGAAAATGAAAAAACGATGATAAAGTATAAACCAGAGACACTTTTGGCTGGGGTGAAGGAAAGGGGAACAAAACTGGTGTGGGAAGAGCACACTGGACTATGGCGATGACACATGGGTAAATTGGTGGTGGGAAGCCCATGGGGATTACAACCGAGATGACAAAAGGCACAAAATGAAGGATAATGAAAAGATAAATAAATATATTTTTAAAAATACCCCCTCCCAAAAGAATAATTTCACTGTATAAATGTCCTCTGGCCTCTGCCTTCCTCTCTCCCCTTAATTCCCTGACAACCATGGACACTATTACTGCTTCCATATCTTTGCCTTTTCCAGAATGCTATATAGGTAGAATCTTCAGTATATAACCTTCTCTCAGTGATATGCATGATGTGATTCTCCCATGTCTTTTCCTGCTTTGAAGTTCATGGAGTATATCCATAGTCAGGATATACTCCAGTTTAGCCATCCATTTACCAACTGAAGGGAACTTGGTCACTGGAAATGATGAATAAATCTGCCATGAGGCGGCTTTATTGTGTTAGATCAAAGGTTTCAGGTCCACTGGGTAAGTACCAAGGATTGTGACCGTTGGATCAGGTGATAAGAGCGTGTTCAGTTTTGCAGAACTGGCCCACTTGTCTTCCAAAGTGACCGTCCTCTTGCTTCCCACCAGCTGGAAGGGCGCACGGTCGTCCGTGTTCCACCAGCTTTTGCTGCTGGCGTGCTGGAGTCTGGCCTTTCTAAGGGAGTGGAGTGCAGGTCCGAGCTGCTTCAAGGTGTAGTTTCCTGATAACAGGAGAGCAGAGCCTTTCCAAGTGCTTATCTGCCACCTGTCCCTCTTCTTTGGGGATCTCAAGTTATTTTTTTACCTATTTTTAATGGAGGTGTTCAATTCCTTATTTTTGATTTTCAATGCAGCACTTTACCACACATGACTTTTGTGTACATGTGTCCTAGGCTGTGTCTTATGATTCAGCATTCCACAGCAATTTTTTTTTTGTCTTTACTACAAAGAAAGGAATTCAGCCTGGATTCTAGTTAGTTTAGTCTATATCTTAGTGATATAAATACACATAGTAAATAGCCATACGTGTACAAGATGCATATTCAAGCATGTAAGTAATAGAGAATTTCAAAAACTTTAGAAACTGCTATTTCATGGAACAAGTCAAGTTCCCCTATATGGCCACCATATTCTTACCAAATCTGCTCCTTCCCCTGCTCTGCCCTATTTCTGTACATACTGGGCTTTAACCAGTTTCAGCTGCTACGTCATTCTGAACAGTTTGGTGTTTCTTGTCCCTGGGCCACCTCATGCCTCTCCTGTCTGCACCCCCTTTTCTCCCCTCCCCAAAACCGTCTGTCTAGTGCTATTCCAATACCCACCTCAAGTCCCTTCTCCTTCAGAATGTGTCCCCTATGTTCCCACTAAACAACCTCACCTTTTTCTGGACTATTTTGTGCACTGAGCCTTTTAGATTGTGTTTTGTAGCTATTTGCTGTTGTCTCAGATTGTCTGGTGCATTCAAACGATGCCTTGTTCCACAGTCTCAGATAAAATCTCTTCTCAGATGAACATGGTACAAGAACACCACTATCCTGCCCACCCCTCCAGCGGCAGCATGGAGGCAGGGGGGCTCAGTGTCATCTGCCCCCCTCAGGGCCTCAACAGGTTGTAGACACCGGCCCCTCTGCACCACACTGAGGATATTTACTCCGGACCCCGAAATTCACACTCTCCTCTGTCAATGGGCTGCCATGCCCATACCTGTCTCTATTGCTCTGACAACTGGAGACTCCTCCACATTCAATCACAGCCTTAGTCTGTCCTCTGCTGTCCCTTGATGATGGCTGTCCACCCACCATCTGAGTGTCTCCCCATGAGTGGACCCCTCTCTGACTCCTCTGATTCTGCACACTCATGTGCCCAGCGTCACACCTGCAGGGAACAATGGTCTTCTTCTTGGATGGCAAAGCTTGCTCTGCCAGAACCACCTTTTCATTCACCTCTCACTAATCCTTGGTCAGGTTCAACCTGGTTTTCAGCCTCAGAGCCCGGCAGTCCCTCAGCCCGTATGCGTCGTCTAATCCACTGGGCTCTCCTGGTTTCACCTCCTTGCCTGTGAGCCCCAACCCCACAGTGAGTCATTCCATTGGAGGATTGGCTCAGACCTGGTTTTCAGCGATTGTATCACTTCAATTCTCTAAGAGATCTTATCCTGTACATTTTCTTCTTTCTGCTACATTTTAAAGTCTTTAATGACTTTAAAGCCATAATATACAAATGCACTCAGATCTCTTTTATTTCTTTAAATGTCTCTCATGAACCCTAGGGGAGATGTCACTGGGAGCATCCACCTCTGAGGCCAGGGCAGTTCTGATAAGGGTGAAAAACAAACTTTACCCTGCGGCCATGGCCTCTGATGAAAGCCCTCCTGAGGGGAGGGACTGTTGCTTGAGCAGGAGTTAGATCAAACTATGAGGGCGTATATTGGCTTTTCCCTGTATAGTGGATAATAGCCCTGAGCCAACAATACCCATGGTGAAGGAGAACAGCAAACAACACCCCTCACTGAGAAAACAATTGATGTGGGGTTTTGAGTTCAACCCTCGCTTGGCTGTGTGGTTTCAGGCTTGCTATCTCATTTCAGCATGTGGTTGTATAATTTAAAGAAAGTGGGGGTTGACCTGCCCAGGCCAACTGCAAACACCCTGATTTCTAATAGTCTATGATTCTATAAGATGTAACCACATACAACATGTATGAGGACATCTTATGGGAAAGAAGGCAAATAGAAACTCTTGCATTCTCTTAAACACCCCACTTTCACCAACCCTCAGAGGGAGCTCTACTCATTCTTATTTTCAGGATAAGGAAACTAATTCCAGAAAACTTACTGGGCCATGTCTTAAACTTGCAAGTAGCTTTCTGCACAGAACTATGACTGTCTCCCTCTTCCCACCCCTTCCTTGTTCTAGAGTCTGGCATCCTGGAAGGTGCAGTGTCTGCCCAGGTCCAGAAGAGGCCAGTGACA